TATATATATATATATATATATATATATGGTCAATCTTTAGCGGAACATCCCATCAAGGGGACGAAAGATGCCAATGATGGATCTGCTCCTGCTCTTTTGTAAGATGTGATACAATCTTGCACCTTGAGAGGCGTCAAAAATACCAAACAGTGTGAATATTCACAGGGTGTTCACCACTTGCAATTTTTTTTTTCTTTTGTAAATTGTCTTGTGGATAATCAGATATCCAGAAGAAACCAAAGAGCAAAGGGTCACTCTTGCCACAACTATTCCTATGAAAAGAAAAAGAATAATTAGAGATATTCGAGGTCTTAGGCGCGGTTGGGTCCAAAAATGTCAACATAATTTTTAGCAATCAATCTCTGTTGGAGGAGGTTGATTAATCAATACAGTAAAGTTTGGATTTAGCAGATAGAAAGCCATCTAGGACAGGTACTAACTACACAAACGCCATCATTTATTCCCAGGAAAGCATTGCGCGCAGTTGTGATTGAACAATTTAGATCAGTTGCCATGTCATTGCAGTCTTAAAACTGGGACCATCCACTTCACACCGAATTTTGCTATAAAAAGGGCTGCACTTTAGGACATAATTCCATGCTCACAATTATCTCAAAGCTAGCTTTGCAAAATCCTTTCTTGGTTGAGCTTTGCTAGCTGGTTACTCTGTATATTATTTCATTTCCAAAACCAGAGAATGGCAAGCAACAATGTTGAAGCTCAGGTGCCAGAAGAAATGCAAAACAAAGCCATTGTGGATACACTTTATAAGGCACTGGCACATGGTGACACCAGCACCGTGGTCAAACTGCTAGCAAGTGACCTGGAGTGGTGGTTCCATGGGCCTCCGCGGTGCCAGCATATGATGCGGGTGCTCACCGGGGAGTCAATCCACACGGAATTCAGGTTTGAGCCAAGGAGCATTGAGGTGGTTGGTGATTGCGTGATTGCAGAGGGTTGGGAAGGAGCACAAGCGTACTGGGTCCACGTATGGACTTTGAAAGACGGTCTGATTACACAGTTTAGGGAGTACTTTAATACATGGCTCACTGTGCGGGATGTGAAGCCACAAGGCTGGGAAATTGGGCACGAGAGCCACACTCTGTGGCAGAGCCACCCCAGGGACTTGGCACGCCGCTCTTTGCCCGGCCTTGTACTGGCCATATAGATATTAGGAAGCTACCGGTTCATTGCTTGGGACATTGCATGCATGGAAATAGTCAAAATGGACCTACGTTAAGCATCTCTGTCTGTTTAACTGTAAATTATGTAACCGTGTTTTGCATGTGAGCTAGCACAATTATTAAAAACAAGGTTCTTCGCTATTTAGTTTGGCTGGATGGAACTATCAAAAAAGAAAAAAAAAAACCGAAGAAAACCAAAACAAAACAAAAGATTTGGAATTGATTGACAGTCAAAGAAATTCTACTACGAAATACCAAGTAACAAGCTGGAAATGTTAAATCGGAGACCAAGGGCACTAGCCTGAGGTCTGAGAAGTGAAAGAAAAAAACATCGTGGAAGAATACTGCAAAACTAATTATGTTTGCAGGCAGACAATTTAGGTTCCTGCAACAAGGAAGCATCAACAACATAAATGCCATTGAGCACAGTCTGCTCTGTCAGGTTTCCCCACAGCAAGAGGGATCAACGATACGTTCCCTATATATGAAATTTGAAAAGAAAAAGAAAAAGAAAATCCTAGCCTGAGGTTGGTTGTTAGTTATCTACTGCTCATCCTCGACTGGAACTAGAGGATTACATTTTGTAGGAGGTGAAGGCTCCAGGAAAACATGAAGTGCCAATCCACTACGCACAGATTTCGACAGGCTACAGCTACTGATAACAGAAGTACTACCAGGAGCTTCAACCTTACCCTGTGTTTTGTTTTATATTTCTATGTTTCAAATTCAGAAAAACATCAGTACCAACTAACCAGATTTTTGTTTCCACTTCTTCTCTTTTCATTGCTGTCCTGTGCCTAATGCATGCCTATGTTAGAGTTAAACCCCGATGAAGCTAACGCTTGTTCAAATTTTCAATAAATATATACTGGGGCCTCTCTCACCTTTTTTAAGGGCCCAAAAGCGTAAAAAATGGCCTTTAATTCGGCCTTATGGATCTTCAGGGTTTGGACTTGCCTTGTAACTGATCCGAAGAAGTGATCATTTTTTACCCTGGATTTCTAAATTTTTATGCCCAAGATTTTCGATATTGTTATCACTTTCACATCCTAAGAGAATTAAGAAAAGGAAAAACACAAATTTCATAGTTTATGCAAGTGCTTTTGCGTTTTGAGTTTCACAATCTGCTTGTTGCTACATGGTTTCCTCTTTCATTCTTCAATTCCCAAAGCAAGATCCCACCAACGGAGTTCAAACAACTTTTACAGCACTCTCTCTGACGCCAAATCGAGAAGTGAACGGAAGAACTGGTGAGGATACATGGGAGGCTGCTCTGCCAGTGCCTGATAGTAGTGCAGCAAAACATAGAATGTCAGAAATGAGATACAGGATCAGAAAATTAGTCTTCTACTCTTCTTTGAAGCTGCATGTACCAATTCTGAACAACACGATGAACCAAAGCAAAAGCCTGCCACACATAAAATGAATGCTACATCTTGTGGGTACCGGATGATTTTACCTGGTGTATCAAGACAGTGGAAGGAGTCATCCCAGGCACCGTATTGACCTCTATGACCAACACCTGCAAATTTCGTAACCAGGAAGATAATGCTTCAATCTAATACTGAAGAATTCTAGATCAATCAGCATATTGCTACCGCTTAATCTTGCAGACAATCTGTTTTGTAACAATCATCAAGACATCCAAACAGAAAAGGGGCTTCAAAGGGACCCACATGACATCACAAGCAGAGTTGGCCTCACCAAGCATAACGTAAAAGAGTAACGGAAGACTGTATAACATCATAGAACAACATACCTCACCATTGTCGACATTAACAAATGCGTCAATTCTTGAAAATCCTTCTAGTTCCAGAGTGTTGGCAATTAGCTCAATACGTTGTTTACATCGCCCCAAAACCTCATTACTGAAGCAAGAAGGGAAAAACTCATTCAATGGAAAGAACAATCCAAGAAAAAGAAGAACAATTTGCAAACATTTGAAAAGAAATGCATGACTTTGCCTCTGAAAGTATCAGGAATGCACTTTAAGTATTAGTCTATTTGGGAAGCGGGAACTGATACATCAATAATGAAGTGACGTGAATATCATACTGTCTGCAACGATAATTTTCCATAAAGTAAGATTTCTTGACAAACCTCATAATTGAAACCGGGGGAGGAGTCAGATTGATGCCGGTTCCACCTGTTAAGCAAAAACTATATCATTATTGCAGACAAAATGCGTTCTATACATAAAAACATGATTATTTCCCTGGAAAAGATTCACAACAAAGTACCCTCGTGCCAAACAGTGTTAAATTACATGATTAAGAAACAAATCTTGTCAAATGGAGCAGTACAAAAGCATTTCCCTCAGTTGATTCAAATCCCAAATTCATTTACTTGTTAATTAGATTTAATAGTGAAGAAAGACATACCCTGAAATTTCTCCTCAAGGGACAAAACATCACCAGTTTCCTTGACAGTAATGCTAGGACTCAATGAGTGCATCGATCCTCGTTTTCCAATAACACCAACTGTTACTTCTACCCATCGACTGTGTCCTTTCCACATAAGGTGCTGTGAACTTGCAGTTGCAGTTTTGGATGAAACAACAATCTCATCTGTCTCCACAAAAGGTTCAAAGATCAAGAGCTCTGGAGGAGGGTTTGGCATTTCGATCATACCATGTGCCTAGCCATTGTACAAAGGGACGTTAAGAGTTTATAATAGAAACTCGAACATGTTACTATAGACATGCAATCTGCAGTGAAAAAACATTTTAGTAGATTTAACATCTTGCTCCAGCGTTGAATATGCTAATCCATAAAGAAAGTTATAATATCTCTCTGCAACTCATAACTTGAAAGGAAAATGGCCAGCTAGAAAACACGAATTTAGAGAATCAGGGACCACTTCCACCAAAAATTGAGAAAATATTAGACTTCTTGAGAGATTTTTCAACATATCCCCTTGATTTTATTGCCAAAGAACCTTTCCCCATTTTTGTTCAGTTTCTGATTACTTTAAGGTTAACCCTTTTAGAACTAATTCTTTCATGCCTTAGAAACATCAACTATGCGAGTGTCAGACTTGTCCTTGGATCTATTTCAGTCCTGTTAAAGGGTTTCAATAGGTGGTAATCTGCTCATTAACGGCACAAGGAAGTGTAGCCAGGCTTTTTATACCTTTGAAAAACTATTAGGAGGAATCCTCAAAAGGCAATCATCCAAGGCTTTTGCATACACTGCAAGGTCCTCTGCACAACTGCATGTAGAAGATGATTAGAATCATTATAGTGAATAAAACCAGAATATTCTATTGAATGACATAGCTCTAGCAGATATCAGAATTATGAACATTTCTCAGTCAAGTGGCAAAGATAAGTCAGTACTCAGCCTTGAACAAGGAAGATTAACCTACCACAATCTTGCAACACCAGTAGAGCATCCATCCCTCGCTGGTTTAATGCATAATGTTTCACACTCAAGCTTTGAGGTCAGGTCATGCCAAGTCTGAAGAATGGGCATCTTCGGTAAATCCTCTTTCCGCTTCACATCTTTGTTTATGGTAAGAACTCCCATTTCTCCCAGCTGTTGATTTCCACAGACCCTAATGCTTAGTATACAAAAATCTACTCAAAGCAATAATAAGGAGCAAAAGGTGGTCAAAGAAACTCCCTTTTTCTTTCAGAGTATCCTAAACAATAATTTGCTAACATACATGATTAAGAGCCAGAGATGTTGCAACTTTATCCATGCAAATCTTGGAAGCCTTTACACCAGGACCTTCACATCAAAAGAGAACAAGAAAGAAAGGAAAAATGATTAACTATTTAAAGAAAAAGTGGTGATCTTGATATGAAAGAAGCAATCAGGATGAACCTGAATAAGGAATTCCTTCAGCCTCCAGCAACGACTGAAGTGTACCATCTTCACCAATGCCTCCATGCACTGCAATTAAACATCAACTTGGTGATTGAAAACACACTGAAACAGATCTCAAGAAAGAAGTTAACAATATAACAGTCACACAATTCAAGTCCTCACTGCCTTACTTTCGTCTGTGCATTCAAGAGAAAGTGAAAGGCAGCACACAGCAAAAGTAAATTAAAAAACATAAAAAAGTAATTGATTGGACATATGATTCCAAGATATGCAACTGTATTTAGCAACTCAACAAAAACTTTGCTATATAGGCGAAATCCATCTTGGCTATATTCAAGATAAAAAAGATCATATGTGTACATGTAGTTTAAGAATTATCCGACATCCACAATTACTAGGCTATCATATTTCAACAATAAATTTGGAATGGTAATGAGTCATTCACTACTACCAAATACAAAACCAAGAAATAGAACCTGAAATAAAAACTGTTGCTTCAACTTCCTTGGCAAACTTGATCCACTCCTTCAGCGAGTATCTCACAGGTAGCTCATCAGCTATATCAAAGCCCATGAACCAGCCATGTTTCTTCAAACCTTCCATGAGTTCATTCATTACTTGGTTTCTTAAGTGAGACGTCAAGGCAGCTCGAGCTGGTTCAATTGCCTCCATGCATGCATCAAGGACTTCCTCTGTTGTGTGTCTCAACACAAGAGAGTAACTGTAAGTAAAGAAAAAGAGGAACATAATTTCATTAGTCAAGTTAGACTAACAAGATCACAGAAGGCAAAAGAAGGGACAACAACCACCAACTGATCTATCATCACTAATTTCAAGATTAGAAGCTTCCCTAAAAGACCAGTAGCCAATGAGAACAGGAAAGGGAAAAACCATAAGAAGGGGATACCTACAACCATAAAAAGGAGATGTTTTCCCGGAAACCATGCATATAAAACAGAAAAAAGATGCAACCAGATATATATAAAGGGTAAACTTACGGTAATGACCAAACTTCTCTGGAGCTCACATCAGACTCCTCCTTATCTGAATCTGTAGTAGATGAATGGTCGATTGAGCTAGCAAGCAAACAGGGAGTGACATCAAGCTGTAGACACCAACATCACCTATCTCAGACAGTATCACACCTATCACACACTTTTATCATAATTTAAGTAAAAGGGCATCTTTTCTTTTCTTATAAATTAGTACAATTAAAGCACAGCCATAGATGATGTGAAGAATTCTAGTATTACTGATCTAAATGACGTGTATCAGAAAATGGAACAAATAAAAGAGCTTACATCATCAAATGCTTGCAAGTTGAGCCAAACATTTGTTCCACTCATAAGGGATACTTGTCGCTCTGAAGTGTCTCCCCCAAAAATGACAAAGACTTTATGAATGCCTTCAAGCCCTTTGGATGTTTCAATAGGCTTCAAGAATTTTGAAGTTCTGCGCAATTGACCTGATTCACTACTATATGTTGCAAGCTCAGGAAACCTCAAGCAAGCACGATGGATTATGCTTCGCAGAATGTTCGAATGAGAAAACCCAACCTAAACAAAAAATGTATGTTTTGGGGTTAGATGCTGGTTCAGTAAAAATGGATGAAAACTAGAAAGAATTAAAGATATCCTGCCTCAACCCTATTCATGCAATATGATCTGCAAAGCAGCCAGAATCAGTGAATCAGAAAGGAAGGACAAAATGTTTTTAGTTATGTACATTTCATACTTCAAATATCATAAATCATTTCAATAATTTGTGGTTTTTGGCTTTCTATAAAACAAAATTTGTAATAAAATACCTACAAAAAGTACTTCTAAGTTCTAACTGCGCTGTGTATTTAACTGAGATTATTTTTACACTCCATGGCAGGACAAATGATAGATGTTGTCCATGCCATTTAGAAGCTATACTG